TGATTTTTACTTTGTATTAATTAGTCTTTTTCCTGGTCCCTTATTTAGGTTTTCTAAATTCCTGCTATGAGTGAGACCATCCGGTGTTTTTCTTTTTCTTTCTGGCTTATTTCGCTGAGCATGATCCCTTCTAGCTCCATCCATGTTGCTGCAAACTGCATGCGTTTATCTATTTTGATTGCTGAGTAATATTCCATGGTGTATATGTACCACATCTTCTGCATCCAGTCATCTATTTTTGGGCATTTGGATTGTTTCCATAGCTTAGTTATTGTAAATAGCGCTGCTATAAACATAGGGGTGCAGGTGCCCTTTGGAATGTCCCAAATTCTTGACCCTGAACTCAAAAGACTGCTCAGATTGCAATTCACAATTTAAGGAACTACTGTTGTGGACAATTTTCCTTTTCAAATTTTGTTATCTGAAGGTTTTACTGAGCTTTTTTGGTGTACTCCTCATCACCTTTGTAATTAGATAGCTGGACAAGAAATTATGCAACTGGTTTATAAAGAAATAAAGAGACAACTGCTGGATAACGGGTACCCATAAGGGGCACTCAGCACATATTCACTGTCTCTGCAGCAGATATAGGGAGGGACCTGTGCTCTGTCAGTCTGCATTGGCTGCCTGAGTCAAAATGGACTTATGCATTTATTCAGCATGTATTTATTGAGTACCTCCTACATGATACACTGTCTTTTTTGGTACAGAAATACATAGTTGATTGAGACACAGAAGTCTCTGTGACCAAGAGTGTGCATAGCTCTACCTAGAAAAATCCATCAAAGCCAGGTAGAGAGAGTAATAGGAAGTAAATAGAGGACAGGGTGACTTTAGTCGGCAGTGGTGAACCTCATAAAAGGTTTCTTTTGGTCTTACCCAGTTAAGATGCTACTGGACAAATTTGAATTCACTTCAGCTTCTCTAAGATCCAAACTGGAAGGGCCGCTTTATGAAAGTTCTGGGAACTCACGTCTCACCTAAAAGCAAGACATTTATGTACTTTATATGTGGAGCCAATGGAAATAGGAGTGCCTTCCTTATGGTAAAATTTGGTTGCTGACACTAAGAGCAGCAGAGCTGCTGTATAGATGGAATCACCAGCTTCCTTTGGGACCTCTCATTCCAGTTGCTTTAGGCTGTACCCACATACTATATGAACCCAGGTATCTTGTCTGAGTATTGGCAGCTTTTTTCTCTTCCTGAACAAGTGTCAATTACTTTTTCCATTACAGCAGGAAGACAGTGATCAAACAGTAATCTATCCCTGAATTTCCTTACACAATGCATTTTATTAGTTAGAAACAAAATGAGATACTTCTTATTTTATCAAAAGGGTTCAAATCTATTCAGTTAATATCTTCAAATAATCCTATTACCTGACATGCTTCCAGGAAGACCCTGCTCTGGGTTTTGTGACTTTGGACAAGTTGCTGAAATGCTCGAGTCCTGGTGTCCTCATCATATTGTATATGTTAGACATGACATGAAATTAACATTATAATCGCCACTTAGAGTTATGATGAAATAAGATCATGCTACTCAACAAAATAAGACAAACTTATCCTACTGCCATACCTGAATAAATGATGAATATGTGAAGCTGACATTAACCAATGTTGTTGAAGATGAGGTTGATGAAGTCATATCCGTTCATTCAGCAGTGCCAACCATCACTATAAAAAAATATATCTATGACTTTTTGGAGCTTCCATTATGATACATCCTGTCATTCTTTTACACTTGGTTTGTTCTTGAATTCTATGAAAAATAGTACTTAAGGAATAATTGCTATCTAGTCCAATAGAATTTACTTGGTTGTTAAGCAAAAAGAAAAGCAAACCCACCAAAACCCTAGTTTTAAATATTTAAAAGAATTATTTTAAAATATTATATTTTAAATTTATTTAGTTTAAAATATTTAAAAATATTTTAAATATTTGTAGGCTATATTCTTTTTTAAATTTTTTTTTTATTTTTATAATCCCCATACAATTCCCCCCTTATTTGTAGACTATAGATTCTTAAGTCATCTTTCTCTCTATCAGTAAGCTCTCATGAGCTGGGATTGAACTTGCCTCTTTTCCAATTAAACAATAATGAGTGTCTGGCCAGAAGAGTTTGCTTATGAAACAGTATTTGAATTGGGGATTGTCTCAGAAAGTCTCACACATATGGTGCCCATATCTATGAAGCTGCCCAGGGGAAATTATGAGGAAACACATCCTGTGTGTCACTCTGTGAGATCAATGTATTCCTCCAGGCAGGCTCTCAACTCTCCCTTTTGCCCTTCAGCCTGTTCTGAGATGCTGTGTGTGTCATCCCAGGGAGCAACGCGGGACCTCCAGAAATATAAAGGGTCAATTCTAGCCACGTTGCTGCAGTTAGCTCACAACTTTTCCCAGGCTTCAAAAGGACATGCTGTAGACGCCTATGATGTAAGAGGGTGTTCCCGCTTCAGCTGTGGCCAGCAGATGCTATGCGAACACTTGATGTCCACGTGTGCTGATAAAAGCTAGGAAAATATGAATAATGGAAAAGAATGGCAGGCAGTGCTTTTGCTGGCTATGGTGATTTTAAACACAAGAGAAACATACACTTAAGCTTCTCCCTGGCAGAGTATTTTAGTCCCCTTGAAATTTTTCACTCTTGTGAGAATGACTCACATCTTGGAAGTGACAAGTTCCAAGTCTGGTGTTCCCAGCACCTTTTTGGCGGTGGGTTGGGGTTCACTCCCTTTGGGAGTGTCAGCATCCCATCATCTATTTTAACTGAACAGAGATGCTGTGCTCCTTGCCTTTCTGTGGAAGCTCAGCTTTTCCCCTTCCCCCAGCAGTGGGATCTTTCTCCCTTTCAATGCTGATTTCCTTCATCAGGCTCACAGGTTACAGTACCTGTAATTGCGTCCCAGCTCAGTTGTAGAACTGGAACACACATTTGTATTTTGTTTTCCTGGTTAGTCATTTTTTTTAAGTTGCATTTTGTTTCTGTTTATGTAAAACACTTTCACATACACTTTGATTTTGCCCCTGACCACGACCCTGTGAAAAGTCTTTGACAGATAACAGTCATCTTCATTTAACAAAGGAATGGCCACAGGCTAGCATCCGGGCCCCAGGAGGCTTTGCATTACCCAGGCTGTGTTATTAGCTAGTGTGAAGGAAACCAAAATTCACTCAGCAATTATTTCATGCTCACAGAAGATCACAAGGCAGGTATTCGTGGTGGGTGTCTGCCTCCCTCCATATGGCAGTTCAAGGACAAGCTCCCTTTGTTTTGAGATTCTGCAACCCCCCCTAGGATTTTGTGGACATGTGCATCGAGCCTGTGGAAGGAAAGGACAGATGGCAGGAGGCCCACCTTCCTGTTTAAAGCCCCTATTAGAAGTGACCCATCTCAGTTTTCCAGAGACAAACACGTGATCACATCATACAGTCGATACTCAAAAAGGAGAAGAAAAATTTGGTGAGCAGCCACACTAAAGTCTCCCAAAAGGATAATGTATATCTACTCAGGACCCTCAGTGAGTGACAGCAAGGGGTGGGATGTAAGTGGACCCTCTCTTGAGTTGAACGATGCTATAGCCACCCAACTAGTAACAGTCAAGGTAATAGTAGTTGCTACAGGATATTCATTTTTTGAGTCTTAGTGTGCAATAGAAATACATAGATAGTATAGTAAGCAAGAGAATTTGCAGTTGATTGCTTAGCCCAACTTATTTAACTTTTAAGAAATTAGTTGAATTAAAGAAATGATTGAATTAAGAACATTTTACATGTAAATATGACCAATTACCTGAAGTTGGTGTGAATGATTGAAGATGGGGACACAACATTTGTATCAATTATGCCTCTTAGTGTAGTTAATTCTTGGAAATGAAGAAAATTAAAAGCAAAATAAAATGGCCTACCAGGCACCTCTTTTATGCTTAGCATTGGCGGTGTTTTGGGGTATACAGAAACGTGGTGCTTCTTTACCCTGTTTATTCAAGGACTTATTCAGGAGAGATACAGAGCTTGGGGGGCGGGGAACAAAATTGGCAATTATTAAGGTGTGACATGTCTTATGGGTCTAATGTATTATAGTCTTGAAGATGATAAACATTAAGCATGATACTATTTCCTCTTTATTTTCTTACATATTTTTTTACAAACATTTGTTGTGTGCTTACTGTGTTCTAGTGAGTTTGCTTATCCCCACAATCCAACCATTTGGTGTTAGTGAAGGTGGATATATGAGACAGCCATTCGACCAGAGCAATACAAGGAAATTTGATAGGTATCTGTGCCTGATTTCTAGACAAAATAAATTTTTAATGGCAATAATGATGTTGGAAATAATTGACTCTAAACTCCCTCATTTAACAAATAAAAAAAAATTGAGGTCCAGAGAGATAATGTGACTCACCCAAGGTCACACAGCTAGCTGGTGGAAGAGTTTGTTGTAGTAGAATCCAGGCATCCTGAGTTCCTACTTCTGCCAGCTGGAGGGGAAGGGTGTTAACTGAGGGCTCTGCATTAGAAATGAGATGACATTACACATGAGAAACTTGGCAAAATCTCCTGTTGTTTTTCCCCAGTCAGTTAATGGGTGAGGGGCAACATGGTAGAGGAAGAAAGACTGATGTAGTCTTAGGGAATTTAGGTTCTCTGCCCAGCTGTGACCATATACATCAAGTTCATCCGTAGGCAAATGTTCTAACTTCCTGAAGGTAATGCATCCGTGTATTTGTTGAACACATTATGGTTTCAGTAGTACCATGCACTGTCCTCTTATTTGATTCTCGAAACAGCCCTCTGAAGTGTGCCAGAAGGGTTCCCTTATTCCTGTTTTGCAGATGACCAAACTGAGGCTCAGAAAGTTGCATAGCTAGTAAAGTAAGAAACTCAGGGTTAGAAGTTTTGAATGCTGCTTGTCCAGTGCTCTGCCCATGATACCCTGTATATGACAAGTAGGGGACAAGAGTGGTTAACTGAGAGTATCATTTTATTATATTACAGATGCATTGTGAGAGATTTCTATGCATCCTGAGAATAATTGGAACCACACTTTTTGGAGTCTCTCTTCTCCTTGGAATCACAGCTGCTTATATTGTTGGCTACCAATTTATCCAAACAGATAATTACTATTTCTCTTTTGGACTGTATGGTGCCTTTTTAGCATCACATCTCATCATCCAAAGCCTGTTTGCCTTTCTGGAGCACCGGAAAATGAAAAAATCCTTAGAAACCCCCATTAAGTTGAATAAAACAGTTGCTCTTTGTATCGCTGCATATCAAGAGGATCCAGACTACTTAAGAAAATGCTTGCAATCTGTGAAGAGACTAAGCTACCCTGGAATTAAGGTGGTCATGGTCATAGACGGGAACTCAGAAGATGACCTTTACATGATGGACATCTTCAGTGAAGTGATGGGCAGGGACAAATCAGCCACTTACATCTGGAAGAACAACTTCCACGAAAAGGGGCCTGGCGAGACAGACGAGTCACATAAAGAAAGCTCACAGCATGTCACCCAATTGGTCTTGTCCAACAAAAGTATTTGCATCATGCAAAAATGGGGTGGAAAAAGAGAAGTCATGTACACGGCCTTCAGAGCCCTGGGACGAAGTGTGGATTATGTACAGGTAGGTTTCCGAATTCCTGCCAGGGCAAACATACATTGAAATAAAGCAGCTTTTGTATCTCTCCAGTCCTATGCTATGCCCATCCTTGTCCCTTCTGAACACAGGAGTCCTTTCAGTTCATTTGAAAACAGCCTGCCTGCTGAAAGCACATTTTGAACGAGAGAGAAAAAAAAATCTTGTAAAACTGTTAAGACTATCTATGAAAATGCTTAACTTGTGCAGCGTAATTAGTGGGAAATCAAGATTATTTTCAACAGGAGACCCTTCCTTCCCTTCCCGCCCCCTCCCTTACCTTTTCTGCCCCCTTGGTTCTGCCAAGTCAAATCCAACGTCATTTTCCACACTCTTAAAATCTGCAGCCTTGTAAGAAAATAGTGTCTGCCTGAGCAGAAGGGTCCTGAGAAAAATCTGGAGACCCAAGGGAAGGCTGTAAATGTTTTTCACAGAGACCTGGTGAAATGGGGATGGTGGGAACAATTTTAATTTAAAAGGGTAAGGAATTCAAAATTGAGGCCCAGAAAGAAAAAGAAAAAGAAAGAAAAGAGAACCTTCTCAGGGCAAAACCAAAGTAATGTTTGTTTCACTCCCCAAACAGCATTACCTCACTCACTGCAACTTGACCTTTGAAAGCATTTGTGATGGTGTTTGCCTGCCTGATAGTTAGACCGACTGTGTCTGTCATTAATTTCTTGACTGCTCACTCTCCTAATTTTCATGGAAGCTTTCTTTAAAAACATTTGTAGAATCCCTGTGATTTTTCTAGTTGGAGTTTTCAACAGATGCTTTAGGTAGGTTTTGGTCATGATGACATCACGAAGTGGGGAATATTCCTGATTTAAAAAATCCACTTGGACATTTTCTGCTTCTCTCAAAATTGAAATCCTACTGTTCCGAAGAGCTACCGTACTCTTTAGGGAACTTCATTTCTGCAAAGTCTCACACAGGGGGCTTTCGATGTAATAGAATAGAAATGGACACTGATTTCACAGTCAAATGACAGGTATTACCAGTTAGATGACCTTGAGCAAGACCAAGCTTTTCTGGAAAGAATAAGCCAATCAAATAAAGGATTTGAAATCATGATTTCAAATAATATATCCAACAGGGCTTAGCAAGTTATTAATGATGGCATTGTTAATAATTATTACTATTTTGTATCATCTTCCTGGAAAATTACAGTACCTGCCAATTGCCACCACAGGGTTAATTTGGGTTGATAAATGAAGAGTTTTGAGGCATTTCTTCAGCTAATACCAATATGCATGTTAATCTCTTTTCTACCCCCAGATAGAGTTCTACCCCCAAGTTTCTTTTACTTTCTAGAACCTTTGCAAGGTAGTTTTATTAATTGGCATGTTTTAGAGTCAATTTAATGTCCAGATGAGAACTGAACAGAAGGTATGGCTGGGAAAACTACAGAGGATTTGAAGAATAAAACTCCACTTAGCGAGAAAACATCTGTTTTGACATTTTGCCTCTAATTCTAGTGAAAACAATTGTTATGTTTGTCATTTTTAATCAAGACGTCATTGTGTGGGTTTTCTTTTTCTTTTTTTTAACCTACTCCTCCCAAACCTCCTTCTCCCATCATTCTTGTTTTGAATTTTGCTTGTATCCTTGGCAACTTGATAACTGTGCTTGTTCAGGAAAAATAATACAAAATAAGAAATGTTAGAGTAGGTTTCCTGCTAGCAGCCTACTCCAGTTTAAGAATATCTGATGTTAGCTGACCCTGCATCTCTCTGGACACCCAGCCCCTTCAAAACACTCAAACAAGGGTAAAAAGAGACAATTGAGTATTATAAAACCTGTTAATTTCATCCTGCCATCCCTCATTAAATCCCCCAATATTCAGCTCTCCATTCCCTCTGAAAATGGAAAATTTTTCTCCCATTCTGATTGACTTCAGGACAGAGAGGTGCAAAGCAAAAGTCACAGAAAGACAAAGAGAAAGAGGGTAGATTTTGGCTACTACGCATTACCTGTGATTGAACCAGTGTAGGTTGTTTAGAGGAGGAAGGAAGCAAAGTTTTGATGCTGACAACAAAGAAGGAGGGCTGGAGTGAAGAAATTGACCATCTGTTCGTATGCTTGCTAACCTGGCTGAAGAACATGGTTTAACTGTGCAGAAAGGTAGCCAAAATGATTCCTTTCCAGCGGCAGCTGGTCCTCGGCACTGGTCGGCACACTTTACACTTGCTCTTGAGTAGATGTTTTACTTATTGTTCTCATGACCTCTTATTTCATACCTTCACCAATCTCCCACGGCTCTACCCAAACCCCTCCCAGTTTAACTACTACCAGATGACCTTGCCTCCTGCGAAAGAGAAAATCAAAGTATTGGTTCTGAGTCCTGTCAAGTTCTTTACACTCTCCTGCATACAGTTGCAAGGGCACCCAGCCTTACTTCCTATCTTAAGGTTAACCTTTCTACCTATATTCCTCCACTCTCTGGATGACTTCCTTTGGTCTCTTCCAGAAGAGGGCTTTTTTCCCTCTCTCTCTCTCTCTCAGTTTTTATCTCTGATCTTCTCTGACAACTACTGTCTCAGCCTTACAGCTATTCAAATAGTGACGACAGATTTGAAACATGGAAGGGAGCTTTATCTAGGGAAAAGCCATGTGGTAGAAATGTAGAGACTGCTTTCAAAGATAGCAAGAAGATAGAAAAACAGAATAAAAATAGCAAAGTGAGTGAAGAAGAAATAAAAGAGAATAAGAAAGGTTTTCTTAATTTTGAAGTATTTTCTGGAGAACCATTTTTCCTCCCAAAGAAGTACAGATTTTCACCTGTCTGGATAGGACTTCCGGTAGGGCAAAAGTCTTCTTTAAGTAGCATTTATAGTCTTTTCTTCAGTTACTAGAACAATGAACGTTTATGACAATGTACTTAAAAATATAGAAAAGCAGCACTATGAGCAAAATTAAAATTATTTTCAGCAAATACATGATTGACAAATGTAATACTTTCCAGCACACACAGTTCTATTTTTCCCTAATTTTAAAAACGATTTTGAGATTATTTTATATTTACTTTTTGCATCTGTTCTTAACTGTATCAGTAGATTTAAATATTCATCAATAACTAGATTACATCGTTCATTCATTATATTTTTACCAAACATGGGTATTATAATGTCAGTGGTTACTGGTCTATGTAAAGGGTTTCCCAGGTAGAAAATACATTCCCAGGTAGAAAAGTATATACAATTCCTAAAAGGAAAGATGGTAGGAGGCAATTTTATATTTCATTTAATGTGGTAGCATCTAAGGTATGCAAGATCTTTATGTAGGGAAAAGAATCACTCAAAATAGTATAGTTGACCCTCATTATTGGTAGATTCTATACTTGTAAATTACTCTACTCAACTGAAAGTATTTCCCACAAGTATTTTGCAGTCCCACGGTGCTTTGGTGATCAGTTGCAGACATGTATAGCCTGGCAAGAAATTTGAATCAACTTTCCTGTATGTTTTCCAAGAGTTGGAACAAGATTAAGTTTTGCTTTGTTTCAACTTCTATTCTCTAAAAAAGTAACTCAAAATATTTTTTTTTTCAGTTAATTTGAAATGATTCTTCACAGTAAATTCAAGCTTGGCCAATTTGAAAAAATGTCAAAGTGTGTCTCTTTCAGTTGTGAATGCTTTATGCAAAAAGTTAGTGCCCACACCCACAGAGCCTAATACTATCTCCCAAAAGGTCATAAAGTCCATGTACACAGATTTATTTTTCCCAGGTGATTAAACACTGAAAGTCTTGTTGTTTTCATGGCTTATAGTACATAAATGTTATATAAATTTATGTTATAAAAATAAATTTATGTTTATGTTAAAAAAAACAAGTAACATAGTCTACTTAGTTTCACAGCTTTTGCTTTTGTGTTTTTTGTTGGTGGTATAGCTTTTTCAAATGACCCCCCAAGTGTAGTGTGGAAATGCTGTCTAGCATTTCTAAGAAGAAAGCTGTGATTGCCTTATGGAGAAAATATATTTGTTAGATGGGCTTCCTTCAAGCATGAGTTAGAGTGCTGCTGGACATCAATTCAATGTTAACCAGTCAACTGTAATATTTAGTAAACAAAAGTTTATGTAGTTTATGATCGGTATTTTAAAATGTTCTAACCAGAAGCTAAGAGAAACTTGCACCTGTATATCTGCTAGGAGCAGTTTTGTGGGACTCGCCCATTCAGTGTTCACAGAAACTTTTGTAGGACTTAACTACCATGACTAGTGAGAATCACTTCTGTGCCATTTGGTTGATTCCTGTTCTGTATAGGAAACCTAAACAACTGAAATAAGTGTCAGTGTTGAGAACGTTCTGTGTTTCTTTATGTCCTTTATTTTAAAGCATCAACTTAAAAGAAAATCCAAGGAAATCCGAATGCTAGACTCAACTGCATTTTTTATTTCAATGTCATTCCAAACCTCAATGAATAAATGATTTCTGAGATCTCTCCAAGATCAAGACCCTAACTCAGTATCATTTTAATTTCTCTGATTTTTAAATTTATTTACACCAACATATCTAGGTGGCAAGAGTGGAGCCAAAATTTTGCCTCCGGAAAGAGTATGTGTGTGGGGAGGGTATCAGAACTTTCTTTTGATTTATCAGTTACTATCATGTTTCTTACTTTCATTTTTTAATCTGCCTTTTTCCTTAATATTGTTTTCTTGAATATAAACCCTGAGTTAAGAGGCACCATATGGGATTTCCTGATTACATTACATTTCTTAGAAATGGTCATTCCAACCATTTGGAATAAGGGTGTTTCGTGACTAACCTCTTAGAGGTGACAACATTTGGTTTCCCACTTTCCAGCTGGCTTGTCACCCTTCTACTACTTCACTCATGTTTATGTGTTTCTGCAAAAGAAAGGAGAATAAGTAAATGACTCCTTAATGTTTCGAAAAGATTCTGTATTGACCAAAGGCAAAAATTATTTTATTACAATGTGGGTAATTAATTCATCCTATTAACAAAGACGTGCGTCTTCTGAATTC